TGAGAAGTCGTTGCTCGAGGAGCCAGTCAACACGCGTGACCGCGTGATTTGGATCCCGTGATTGAAGGGTGAGCGGCGCTATATCCTGTCTAAGTGCGAGTTAATCACACTGCTGATCAGCCACTCGTGGCCGAACGGTTAAGAGTTCAAACCACTAGCCGGGAGGTCGCGGGTTCTAGACTCTTCGGAGTTTCGTGAGATGCGCACTGCTGATGATTCCCAATAAGGATGAAACAGCTGTACAGTGCTTCTCGGCTTCTCAGCATAGATTGGCTGTTTCAGTTTTTAATGAGTGGAATTTGCACTGGGTGTTTGCGCATTTTATTTCACCTGCAAATGACAACGAGTAAAGTTACAATATGTGAGATTTTACTTTTGTGCTTTATCTCGCTAAGCGGTAACAAAATTGCAATCGATATTGTTCGATAACGTCGAACTCCCGTTTACTTGAACAAATTGCTATTTGCAACATATCACCGGAACGCGCAGATGAGAAAGATTTACTTTTCATAAAATTCACGGCTTCGAAAACTGCAAGTTTCCGCAAAAAATATTAAGTTTCACTTCTAGTGAGCGGCCTTTTTCATCAGCTGGTAATTACATGTGCAGTACCGGTGGCCGGAGAGCTTGAAAGTGCCGTCATGTACAACAAAAGCTACCACTGATAAGTACCACCGGGCGGGACTATCTCAGCGTGGAGCTCGCAGTTTTGGAATATTTACAGTGAAAAATTATTTCGGTGACCATCTCTTTTTAACCTCGGAAGTGCGCTAAAATCAGGAAACCTGTGTGAGCAATATATTACAAACACGTGCAGTCTGAACGGACTAGCGTTCCGCAGAAATCTCAACTTCAAAAAGCCACAGTTTCGGCTCGCTTCGCCGAGCAACCAAAAAGCTTCTCATGATGCTCGTGATGAGTACGCTGGCCCTCTTCCAATTGATGCAAGTTCTAAATTCACCGCGTGTCAGCGATGAGCCACACGTCAAAAACACAAACTGTACTCATTTGCCGGAAACCTGAAGGTAAACGGGGAAGTGGACTGCTCCGAGTCATTTAGCTGAACACGCTAATCATTGACACCTACTACTTTGCGAACGCTGTCTCCAACTTAGGCATTATGCCATAGATAGTTTTGCCTCCCCAACTTAACTGATGTAAAGGTAAAACACCTCGCCCAACAAAGTTTGGGTGCATACGATTCAACCAAAAATTGTCCGACCTTGAGGATTTCAGGGTCTCCCTAAGTTCAGGTTTTAGTTGCTCTGGCGTGGGTTAGTCTGGGTAGCCTCATCGTTTAAGGAATCATTTCAGTTGAGTTTGCAGCAAAAAGCGTGAAACTTAAGCTAACGCAGAGGGTATTCAAGCTGCGGCATCAGAGACGGTCCTCCTCATTTCAGGCTATTGTGATGAAGGCTATCAGCATATTGCGGTCCCTATCGTCCAGCCCAGTGCGCATTGGTTGGTTACTGCTATCCAGAGATTGGGAGGGAAACCGCCATAAGGTACACCACATCAGTCGCAGGTGCAAATGATGCTATTTAAGGATGGTATGAGCACTATCCACGGTGAGTCATTACACGGAGAACGCAGCTCGGGGCTGATCCAGGGATAAGTGCATCACACGGATAAATTCCAGCCATAAAACCGTAGCCCTATAATGAAACTCCATTGCAGAGTAAACAAGACCACCTCAATACTGGCTTCGACGTTTTCGGGGGGAAACGAGGATCATTTGAAAAATACTCAGAAGAAACCCTCGATGCCACTCGGACGGACCCCGGCCCTCATCAGTCGTCACGAATCAAGTCCACGCTGATGCCAGATTGACGGCATATACAGAAGGGGATTGCTTCGTGGTCAGTTGCCTAAAATGAATGGCAACCAGTCGGCTGGACGAGTTGTCCGTGAACGGCCCCCGGATCAATGCGATCATATGAATGACCCCCGGCGACTGGGCGTATGTCTTCCAGTTGCGAATGAGAAATTGGGTGGATCGGTCAATCCGCCTGGTTGGAGCAACAAGATGCCAGTCGGTCAACAAGATGCCAATTTATCTTCTATTCTCAAAGTAATAGCTGGCTGCTGAAGCAGATAACCTCTCCACGGAGTCGTTAGAACATAGAGGGGGAGCTTTGTACCACTTCGATTAGGTTGTATTCTTTTGGTAATGAGGACTTTCTTAATCTGATTAGAGCAACCCGTTGTTATTACTTGTGTGTACGAAAAGTGTTTAAACTGACTGTCTTGAGTCTCGCGTCCGTCATAACGCCCTCTTAGTTTTCCGTATATTGTGACACCTGTTTTGGTACGTGGGAGGAAAGTCCGATGGCATCAAGCCGGATTTTCGCCTTACTCGGATTGCATCGATCATATCCTATCATCACATCGGGCTTTTGAGCGGCAACACGTATGCTGTCCACGAGCAGCCGCAGTTTTTCCTCTAAGAGACCCTTAGACTCTAAAAAAAATGATTGTACTTCGCGGCGTTTGTTGTACTTTAATGACCTAATTTACGGTATAAAGTTGACGCGCGAGCAATCAGTGTGTTCGCTAACTTTCTCCATTTGTGGCACCAGGATTTAATTTTGCTTCGACTGCAAGCAACTATGGTCGATGTCTTACCCAGAGGCTTAATCGCTCCGACCAGAGGACCTTTGCTTTTTCAGGCGCTTGATTACCGGTGCCCCGGTAGCGTGGAAATATTTGTCTGCCTCAAGCGAGTGTGTAATGAGTTGGTGCGCAAATGGATATTTGGTGACATCATGCCCTCTGAAACAGAAAACTGAATTTAGCTGATTGGGGATGTTGGGTCACGTAACACGTAGGCCCTATAACCGCCTACAGAAAACAGTATAGTTTTCTACTCCAAGCGGTTACTTGAGAGAGTTTCGCGGATGGCAGGCCATTATATGTCAACTTAAAATGACAGCGGCTACTGTCCGGCTCAGTACAGCTGGATGTATGGGCATTCTGGCCGAAACGCACGTGATCCGGCTTGCATGTGGGGAGGAAAACCGTGTGGGGCATATGACGTTCTCTCCCTCATTATCACACCCTATGCACAATCATCATTGGCACATACACAATTAATTATATGCCACATCGGCCGTGCATGCTCTCAAGAGTTAGTCCGATTCTGTCGATCGGTCAATGCTGTTAACTATACTTGGTTGACATGATACGTTCCAGAAGGTTGTGAGCATAACTCAATTCCTATATTCACATACTTTTGGACGTATGAGCGCATGGTGAACACCCTGAAAAGCTTCTGTATAAAAAGTGGTCTGAAAACAATGTCCACTTTCTACATTCTTCCTCAAAATGGTCATTGCAGAAATAATGAGGCGAGCGCTGGAAGGTCCCCAAATTACTGGTGTCCAAATCGTCTACGGCGAAGAACTCAACAATCTGCCATACGCAGACGATTTCACTCCTGTTATATACTAACGTTGGGTTAGACTGTTTTCCTTCCAGTTACCATCACGAAGATGCCATCCGGACGCTCGCGGCGTTGTAAAATAAACTCGGAAGTGAAGTGTCTGCTCGCCGCGTGCCGGTCACTACCAGAGAAAAACCAGGTAACTAAGTCGAAGCTATTCCTGCGAAGATTACGTTACTTTGTCAAGGAGTGGAGGTTTCTTGCAGTTCCCGCCGTTGAACGTTGAGATGAGGCTATCGGGACGCTTTTATGACGGGTTTGCAGTTTCATTCCGGTCACAAACGACTATTAAAAGAACACGTTGTTATCTTCAACAAGCGTTTCACGAGGAACTTCTGCTTGAAATGCTTAACAACAGCCATTCTCATATGAATCGTTTTTCATGCTCCCTGTGAGGCCGCATCTACTAAAACGGGTAAGCGTTTGACACTCGTTTGTGATGTGCGTATTCCTCAGACTGGCTCTAGGTATAATAACGCCCAAGACGAAGTCAGGAACACCTGGACAGCTGTTTATACATATATAGTGCAGGCGTCAACAACTTTCTGGAAATTCTGGCACCTCAAAGATGTGCCGTTGGCAGCCACTATTCGGCTAAAACTGGATCATGATCGGCTTTTGGGTCCAGATCCTCGGCAAGAGTCCCGAAATTTCGGCCAATCTTAAGTGTGATGGGCTTCTTTGTCGTCGCAGTCCCCGACTGCGAGCGGTGAACAGGGGGTTTACGAGGAATTTGGCTAACATTCCCGCCCGAAATTTGGTGACGAAGCCTCGAAGCCGAGGGTACATTTGCAGTGACCTCACTAGCTTGCGTATACTGTCTCTTTAGCGGTGCGGTTGTAATCCATGCTCAGGTTGGGCCTCTGACGAAGCAGCTGATTGATTTTGTGAAGTGGTGCTGAGATCAAAAATTGTTCAGAAGCATTTTTTACTCAACTCACTCGGTCATGTGAGCAGGGCCTGAGCACCTGTCGGCCGGATTCGGGTCGCTTGTCATGTTTACCCGACTGAGCCGGCTCAAATCCCGTGGAGAACTATTCTGCGCCGGCGAAGGTTGAGTCCGGGAATCTACGTAGGATGTTTGTCGCTGGAGTCACGAACAAACACCCTCTGAACTTCACTGAATAAGTGCGCCGTTGCTCCGCGTTGCCGGCTGAACTATTCCTCCACTCTAATGCTGCGGTGACTAACCCGCCTTTTTTGTGGCTGGATAGTTTTATGCAGTGTTCGAAGCCTCTTTTGGAGCGACGATTCTCTTGGTGACAAAAGCGGGTGACTTGGGTCTTGGCATAGCTCGGTATGACAGCAAGAATCTTTGCAAAATCTCTTCCAGTGGTCCCTCCCATCTGAACTTCTAATGTGCCTGCTTTGGAGTGTCAATGAAGCCAGGCCTTTTGATTGTGATTGGAGCGGCGGCGAGAAAACATGCATTATGCCATACCCCCGACAAAACTTTGCGAACGCCGACGGCGTGAACTGACTTTCGTTGCCGGGCACAATAGTCTCTGGTGTTCCAAAGCGACTGAACAGTCGTCGAATGTCAGGCACCGTGGTGGCAGTTTTGGAGCTGTTCGCTGGAGGAATTTCCGGGCACTTGCTGTGGATACCGACCACGACCAAAATGAGTTGGCCACCCGCTATATTTGCATAATCGATATGAGAAGGAGACCAGAATTCTGTCGGTTGCGTCCGAGACCGTAGGTTTTCACGGGTGACTTGGATGCTTCAGCACACAATTGGTAAGATTATCAGGCATGCCTGATCTAGGGCGCCAGTAGAAATAATTCTAAGCAAACGCCTTCAGTCCATTTGCTTTCGGGTGCCTTTTATGAACCGGCATCCGCCGGCTAGTGATAGTGCATCACGCCCTTTGAGGTAGGGCTTTATCTCGTCTTCTGAGCAGGTGCGCGACCACAGACTGCGATGGTACCCATTGACTTTAAATGGTTCAGGGCAGCTTTTTGTAACTTCTTTGAGATTTCAGCACGTTCTGAATAAGGGCATTCGACTGTTATTGAGTTTGTGCCATTGCGGTTAAGGTAAGGTCTCAGTTCGTCTTTTGGGCAGGCACGCGGCCACTGATTGCGGTGGTACCTATTGAAATGCTGCAGCAGTGTGACCTGGCAGGTTGCCTGGCGGACCATGTCGGCGTTCACTGGGAGGATGCGAATCGCGTCTTGCACTACGTGACTAGCCTCCGTCTCTAATGCAGTCGTTGCAACGACGGTGTCTTCTGGTTCCGGCCTGCTTGAATCAATGAATTGTGATAGTGTATCGGCATGTCCAAGGCTGGTGGTGGTCTGGTACCTGATCCTGAAATCATATCTCAGCAGCAGGGTGGCCCGTTGCTAGGCGGTTTGCAGTATATGCTGAGATTTCTTTCTTCAAGCCAAACAGAGCGATGACTGGCTTATGGTCGGCCGGTATTGTGAACTGACGGCCGTAGAGCATTTCATGAAACCTCTGACGGCAAACACGATCGCCAAAGCTTCCTTTTCTATCCGGCTGTAGTTGCGCTCTGCTGACCTCAGTGATCTGGCCGCATCTGCAATGACTTTCTTGCTGCTGTCGGGAAAAACATGTGAAATCCCTGCGCCAATTTCATAGTTCGAGGCATCCGACGCCACAACGATTTCCAGAGATGGATCAGAGTGGGTGAGCATCAGATCGGAACTCAGCATGAATTTGACAGAGTCAAAATCGCATTGGCATTCTTATTGTGGTCTTTGGGAATTAACTGGTTTATTGGGCCTCGGAGGCGATGTACAGAAGGCGCAAACGTACCATAGTGGCTGACGAGAACGAGTAAAGACTTCAGGAACGTCACGTCTGTTGACACTGGCACACGTCGATGTTTTCTAGGTCTGGACGGCGGCCATATTTGTCAATGGTGAAAAAAAGGTACTTTGTCGCCCGCAAGAAAAACGTGAATTTCTATCTCTGATGCACTCCGAAGCTATTTTTTGGAATACAGCCAAGCACGCAATCAAGGCGCTGCCACAATTCTTTGGGGTGACAACTACTAAAAATCCGATATTCCAAGTGAGCAGCAACTCAGAGAGCATCCTCCAGCATCGTATTCATGATCTATGGAGATATTCGTGCCGCCGCTTTGGTATCAAATGGCAGTGAAGCTTACTGGAACAATCCGCAGTGTGTATTGATTAACAACAGTTCTCGAGATTATTCTTCAACTTCAACCCGGAGGTGCGCATCGGCCAAGCCAGTCTTCATGAAACATTCCCCCTATTCAGTTTCGCGAACAAATCGTCTGGAAGAAGCAGAGGGTATCTGTGGATATTCAGCGCAGCGTTGAAACCGGTACAGAAATCTGCACAAAGAAGGATGGTTCCGTTAGCCTTAACCGATCGCTGTGGCACACACAAAGCAGTAGGTCGGATGTAAAACGCCAGCCTTCATTAATCGGCCCAGTTCCTGGTCCACGACAGGCAAGGCTGCATAGGGGGCTGGGCGTTTTGGCTTGAAAACCGGTTGGCACCTAGAATGATGCACGATCTAGTCCTTGCATTTTTGCACCGTCCGTGCTTGCCGACGAATACAGATACATGGCGTTGTAGGAGGCCATCAAGCAAGCTCTTCGTTATGTGAGTTAGTTCGAGAGTGTAGTGGTCTGGCCGACCAATCAG